CAAATTTTCTATATCAAACATTAACATATGAATACTCAAGTTTTCAACAAAAATCTATAGACACCTAATCATTTATCTATAAAATGCTAAAATGGTAATTAAATAAATTTATTTAGAAAATATTATATATGTTGTATCAATAAATTAATTTGCTTAAATACCCAAATAAGCCCTCAAACTATATCAAGAAAGTCAATTTTACCCTTATCTTTTTATTACATTCAAATAAGCCTCTAAACTTTTATTTTAAATCAAATAAGCCCCTTTCACAAACTGTTAACTAACTTTCGTTTGTCAACGATGCAGTCAGTAATTTTTTATACCACGTCATCTACCATGCATTATATTAACATGTCATCTTGATAACATCAATGCCAAATGGCAAATGACGTGGCATAAGAAAATTACTGACTTGGAATTGAGTTTTTTCCTTTTTAAATATCCAAAAAATATTAGTTAGGGATTTGAAACAAAAAATTAAAAAAAAAACTAATTGTTTCAAACTGATTACCATCGTTTCTTAAGGGAGCACCATCCATCATTCCTTAAAAAAACCTAATCCGATCTTTCTAGCAAAAATATCCATAACTGTTTTAAGAAGAGGAAGTGTAAAGGTAGGACACACAACACTTGTAATACTAAAACTAACAAAGACACACAGTGTTGATTGACAATAAAAGAGAGTCCAATCCTTTTCTTCTTTTCCCTAGAATTTGTAAGGAAAATGTGAAACTCTTGTCTTTCCTAAAATTTGTAACTGAAATTTGATGGTGTTGAATTTTATTTACAAATAATAATGAATTCTCTTTCCACATCTTTCATAGACTTTGAAAATTCAAGACTACTCAGAGAACGATTTTTAGAAGAGAAATAGAAAGTTAAAGAAAGAACATTCTGACTATAAGGTACTTAGGTTTAAAAAAAGTTAAAGAAAGTGAAGTGTTTTTTTTTTTTTGGTTAGGAAGGATAGCTTCAATTAAAAAGATAGTAATCAGTTAAGAAATGATGGTAATTAGTTTGAAGTAATTAAGGTTTTTTTTAATTTTTTGTTTCAAATCCTTAACTAATCATTTTTGGACATTTGGATTGGTAAAATGAAAAAACTTAATTCCTAGACAGCAATTTTTGATGTCCCGTCATGTACCACGTAACATTGATATCATTAAGATGATACGTAAACATGCCACGTAGAAGATACATGACACCAAAAATTACTAATTGTACTGTTGTCAACGATTGGTGTGAAGGGCTTATATGATCCAAAATAAAACATTAGGGCTTATTTGAAAGCAATTAAAGGATAGAGAATAAATTAACTTTCTTGGTATAATTCGAGGGTTTATTTGCATATTTAACCAATTAATTTTAATTTTGTGCAATGTACGTTACCATTTTTAGTAATAAATTTATAATATAAACAGGTAATATTTTGCAATATAAAAAGCAACAAGGAAGTGATGATAATAAAATAAAAAGAATAATTAATTGATATTGTAATGCTATTATGTTTTTTTAAGTGAATAGTTTGTAATTTTCTATAGAAATGAGAAGGCACTACCCCAAGAAAAGGAAAAACTAGTTCAAGTGACATCAATTTCAAACTTATATTGGCTTGGTTAGTCCACCTAGTGATCAAACTAGTCCACAATTTTGAGACAATTGATATGGTACAAATATATATTACAGGTTTTGGTAGTAGAAAGTAATAAGACAAAGGATAACTCCTAATATCCCTTGTGGTATAACATTTTCTCAAATATACCTCTTGTATTTTATTTGGATGAGATTAATAGTGAAAAAATATAAATTAATATCAAGTTATCTCATTTAAACAATAAAATAAGAAATTAAACTTGGTGAAAAATAAAGAAAAAAAAAACTAAACATGCAAATTGTGGTTCGTGTTATTTTTAAGAGTAAAATATCCATACACTCCTGAGTTTTAATAAAAATTTCAAATAAGTCTATTAGTTTTCGAAATAAACACTTCACTCCAGGAGTGTAAACACTATTAGTAGAGATTATGAAAAAATTAAAATATTTTTATTAATTTAAAAAATTAATTTTTTTTGAATTTTTTTTAAAAGGAGCGCCAATTAATGTTTTCTAGCTTCCCAAGAAAGGGGAGCACCAAAGTACCAATTGATGCTCTCCTCTCTTGGGGAGCACTGATCTAGTGCTCCCTTCCCTTGGGAGCATGGCGCTTCCCTCCAATCAATGCTCCTTATTTTTTTAATTAATAAAAATTATATAATAATAATTTTAAAATTGATAAAGGGTAAAATTATCATTTCAATATTACTATGTCATCAAATTAACGGAACCACTAACGGTTTGACCTATGTATCCAGTGGAAGATTTTTTTTAGAGTGGGGTATCTATTTTGAAAATTAATGGACCTGCTTGGAATTTCAGTTAAAACTTAGGAGGGTAAAGGTATTACCCTATTTTTAATGTCCCTAAGTTCAATTAATCTCTTCATTTATTAAAAAACTTATTGAATTAGGTCCAATTGAGTGCTATATATACTCAAAGAATGACAAGAAATTGAATTCTTAGACAACTAGATGATATGAATCCCATTGTATCTTTTTCTCTCAAAAATTGTCTCTTTTTCTCACTAATTAATTAAACAAATGATTAATCAAATGAAAAAGCATTCAAATTCCATATGCATTTTAATTAAGAAAGTAATCAAAACCTCTAATGTAACAGAGGGATCAAGTTATTACCAATCAAAACATGTTTTTTTCTGTTATCTTGGATTCATATACGTGTTTAATCCTAAAATAATAAAATAAAAATAATTAATAACAGAAAGCAAAAGGATTTTTAAAATTGTCTTACATTAAAAGCAATCCAATGCGAAACCAAACATACAAAAAGAAGTAAGAAAAGGAAAAAAAAGTAAGGGAAAAATTAGGTAGATAATTTATCTAAGAGGCATAGATATTAAGCTAACCTTAAATCTGATTTAATAAAATTGACCTAAAAAATGTTAGTTTCCCATCCTATTACAACAATCATGGAACAACAAACAATTATAGTCTCAATTAAATAAAAGACAATTAAAGATAAGAGAAAATAAATTTAATTATGAAAATATGAACACAACATTTAACAATTTTCTTTTATTGATATTTTTTTCTCAGACAAATCTAAGTAATAAATAACATATAAATTCAAATTTTATTAAATAGCTTAAATCAACATAAGTGCTTGAATCAAAAGCTATGTCGTATTTTATTTTGATGAAGGTGGTGATGCAGTGGCATTGATGACTATATTCATTCCAGCAACACACAAATAAAATAATTAGCTCCAAAGGCTAAAGGGATTTTATCATCTCTTGAATCCAACTCCATGGCTCTCTCATTAATTGTGCATGTGTCATGTCCTTTTTTTTCCACCACTATCACGTTGAACAAATGTTCATCATATAAGAATTCTATAATAAATTAAGATAATTGTAAGTTATCAATGAACAATTCTTATTATGTACATGAGAAATTTTATTGAAAAAGCTTTAAGATGTTTGAATATTAAAATAGATTATAGAATATTAATAAAAAACTTGAAACGACTGTTGCGAAAGAATTAGATTTTCATGTTACGTGATTAATCTAAAATCAATTAATAATCAATGATGTATATACCTAGAGCATCGCCAGTATTGAAATTCTTCCTTATAGTCCAGGCTTCCAAACTAATTGATGAGTCCCAATCATTATCATCTCCAACCATATAGGTCATTGGTGTTGAATGAATGGCTTCATATTGAAGCATCAAAAGTAGCATTGCTAGGGTTAGGATTGAGCTGCCTTTGATTGCCTTTTTCATTTGCTTGTAAACTAGCAATATTCAAACATGTTGTTAGTGAAACTTAGCAAGCTTGAAAACAAGATAATTCATTTTATAAAGGGCGAAGATTGAAAAAACAATGAACCTGACATCTTTCTTTTTTGGAAAACTAATGGTTTTCCAATAATATATGAATTGTGTAATTTTTGGATAGAATAATGAGTCTATTAACTTTTTTTTTTGAAAAGCTTATTAACCGCTTATTAATTATCCATGAAATGTTGCAATATTTTTCATATTTTCATGTGAAAAATGAGAATATATCATTCTATCAATTCCAATTCTTTACTAAATTGACAAATTTTCTATGTCAAATATTTATGGATGAACACTTAAGTTTTCAACAAAAATCTACAGACACCTAATCATCTATCTATAAAATGTTAAATAGAAAATAAACAAATTTATTAGAAAAATATTATATATGTTTTATCAATAAAAAATTTAGTTAAATACCGAAATAAGTCCCTAAACTATATCTAAAAATTCAATTTAGCCTTTATCCTTTTATTATGTTCAAATAAGGCCTTAAAATTTTATTTTTGGATTAAATAAACCCCTCTCACTAACTGTTGGCTAACATAAGTCAATAGTACAATCAGTAATTTTTTATGCTACGTCATCTACCACGTTACATGTTGACGTATCATTTTGATGACGTCAATGTCATATAGTAAATGACATGGCATAAAAAAATTGTTGACTTGGAATTGGATTTTTTTTCCTTTCTAAATGTCCAAAAATTATTAGTTAGGAATTTGAAATAAAAAATTTTTAAAAAAAAACTAATTGTTTCAAATTGATTACCATCATTTCTTAACGAATTACTATCTATCCTTCTTTCTTAAAAAAAAAA